GACTTTAAAAACAATTATGAATCTAAAACATTAGAAAAGTATGATTTATAGGTGTATTAGCAATTGAGAAAAATCACTTCATAATTGTTCCTAGTTTTTACCTGAAGGCACCATCCCCGTCTGGATCAGGTGCTGTTATGTGACAAGCATCACCTGAGAGTCCATAGCCCAAAATTTCTGCATACACTTTGGCTCCCCTTTGTACAGCATGCTCATATTCTTCCAAAACCAAAACTGCGGCACCTTCTCCCATGACAAAGCCGTCTCTCTGTGAATGAAATGGCCGGCAGGACAGTTTGGGGCTCGAGTTAAAGCTTGTACTCAGAGCCCGAGCTCTAGCAAACCCAGCCAGAGACAATGGGTTAATGCAAGCCTCTGTTCCTCCAGCCAGCATCACATCGGCATCCCCATAGGCTACAAATCGAAAGGCGTCTCCAACAGCATGGGCCCCCGTAGTACAAGCAGTCGATACGGCATGGTTGGGACCTTTCAAGTGGTATTTAATACTAACATGACCTGCAGCCATATTGATTAAGATCTTTGGGACAAAGAATGGGCTGACTTTGTTGTACCCCTTTGTCTTGAACATCAAGGCTGTATTGGAAATCTCTTCCAGGGGAACCATTCCCATTCCTATTGCCACACCAGTACTTAAATGGTCCAGTTCAGACTGTGGGTACCAGCCAGAGTCTTTTAATGCTAGATCGGCAGCACCTATGGCCATGACGGTGGCAGCGGACATGGCTTTGCTCTCCGCTTTTGACACGAAGTTTTCTGCGAGGAACTGACCTTCACCAACTCCGTCTGGAACACAAGCAGCCACTTTACATGGAACACTGGAATATTCCTCTCCCTCAAGAGCAACAATCCCACAATTCCCTTGGAGAAGGTTGTTCCACACAAACTGAGTTCCAACACCGAGAGGAGATACCAGTCCTATACCTGTGATAACCACTCTCCTTCGGGCTTGAGAGACCACACTAGTACTCATGTGCTTAATGATTCTTAAATGGTGATGTGCTTGGGAACTTCGAACATTGAGGCGTCCCATTCTAAATAAATCTCTCAAGCACTGGAGACGCATGATTGCACTGCAGATCCTGCAACAGATAAAATAAAAATTTATATTATTATGAACTGTCACAGTCAGATAGTTGACTAGTATATGGTGTTCTGCAATTTGAGATCTAACCAAGTTCTTGGGAATTGCAGATGTATCTTTGCAGGATTCGTGCTGTTCCAAGCAACACTCTCTTTGGAGCTGAGCTGGTGTTATTTGCCCAGAATGTCCAGGTGTTTTTTGAGACTTCTAGGCACTGCTCCAAGGGTTCCAATGTCAACTGGCACGATGGTAAACTTCTTCTCCCAGAGGTGCCCTAACTCTATTTGTAGGTCTTGGTATTTCGAATTCTATTTGTAACTCTTGATATTTCATCTATGGACCTGGCATGATAGAAATACCCTTGAAAGTGCCTAAATAGTCGGAGGGGGGGGAATCAGTGTTTGGCACCAATATTATTTTTTTAAACACATGAGTAACCAGGTAGCTGGGAGTTTTCCCTACTCTTGAGAATAGGGTTGCCAAATCCGAAGTTCTTACCGGCGGGGGATCGTCCGGCTGTTCCTGGAGCTGCTGGGGGATGCGTGCGCGCGCGCCGCCAGGACGTCACCGGAAGTGACGTCACACGCTGGGCAGGGCCACGCCGTTTGAGGGGAAAACAAAGAGTTTTCCCCTCAAATGGCGTGGCTCCGCCCCCAGCGTGCGACGTCACTTCCGGGTGACGCGCACGCGGGGGTGGGGTTTCCCCCGGGCCCCGATTCCGGCGCGCCGGGAATCGGGGCTCCGAAACGGGGGATTCCCTGCCCCCCGGCTGCATTTGGCAGCCCTACTTGAGAAGGCTATTCAAAATCTCTAAAAAAGGAGGGAGGGGTAAGGAAAAAACTGGTAATAATAAAAATAATAAAGAGCCTATTTGCCCAAGCTTCATACTAATCCACAAGGCATACTGCCAAACAAGGGGTTTGTGGCTTATTTCTGTACTGTATCCATGTGTCTTGTGCTCTGCCAACTATGGTATCTTCTACAAAGGCTATGAAGTGAAGAATTATATTAGAAGTAACATACCTCTGGCCTACCAGCCATTTTAGTTCAGAGCCTTTGTAAGTCTCAGGGTCCCTATATTTTAGTTTGCTTTGTTTCTTCATGCTCCATCTCCATAGGCCTTATCATCTATAGAAGTGTGCAGGACTGGTTTTTCCTCCAAAGAGTTCAGGAGAGACAGCATGGTGGTGGAAGCCTTTTTTCTTCTTCAAAACTTGGGCTGGATCAGCAATGTGACAACAAGCTGCACAATGTCGTGTGCTGTCATTCTTGAAAACTGCCATAGTAATGGTGTGTCCTCTTTGGGCCAAATTCAAGCTATTACTGGAATAAGCAGGCATTGTGGACACCAGATTCTTAAAAGTTCCTGATTTCTACTATAAAATTGCATGCAAGTGTTTCTTGTAATGAAAATTGACACGGATTTCAAAGTAAGGATCATATTTGCTCTTGCTTCATGTATTAGGCTTCCCAAGTCCCCCCGGGGGGCGAGAGGCCCATTCCCCGCCGCCGGATCGGGCCCTGGGGGGAGCTCCTCCCTGACGTGCGCGTCACCCAGACGTGACGCGACCACGCCGGGGGCGGGGCCACGGCCGTCCAAGGGAAAACTCTATGGTTTTCCCTTGTATGGCCATGGCCCCGCCCCCAGCGTGCCTGGCGTCGTCACGTCACTTCTGGGTGACGTGCATGTGGTGCGCGCGCACAAAGCGCACGTGCGCAACTGACACCGGCTGGGAGCCCCCCGTTCCCAGCGAAAATCAACTTGGCAACCCTATCATGCATACCCGTTTTGCAGATACTCCACTGGCTGCCCATTTGTTACCTGGCTCAATTTATGGAATTGGCTATCACATACAAAGCCCTTTACAACTTTGTTCTCTCTTATCTTCAGGACCACCTCTCCCCCTATGCTCTGCCACACCAGCTTCAGTCATCTGAGCAGGACCTTCTGCAGGTGCCAACCTGCAAATGGGCAAACTCAACTACTGCCCGTCCATGTGCTTTCTCCGTTGTGGCTCCTCCCACCTTATGGGATGGCCTGCCCACAGAGGTCAGGGAGGCTCCCGCTCTCCTGGTAGGGCTGCCAGGTCCCCTGGGAGGGCGGAGGTTCCCCCGCTAAAAGGGTCCCCAATCTGCCGGTCCGGAAAAGGCCAGCGGGGGGAACCCCGCCCCCAAAGTGCCCGGTTTGGTACCATAGAGTTTCCAGGCTGATTGCAGGAGCGTTAGCCAGCTATGTGCCCAACATGATGACTTCACTTCCGGGAGACATCATCGCGGTGTGCATGTGTGAAGCATGTCTGTGAATGTCCCGGGCAGGGACCAACTCTATCCCACTATTAGCGGTAGGTGACTTGGCAACCCTATGTACAAAGCGGTTTACAAACCTACTTGGATAAATGATTAGGGACTGTGGCCTATAGCTTATCGTAAGTAGGATCCTACTACGTAATTTTTGCATCACTTAATCAGCCATGTTAATAGTTACATTAGGCTTTGGTTTTGTCTTTTAGATTTCTGGTTGGCTCATGACTTCTGCAGTCCTAGTGCATTATTGAATGTCCCATGCCTTGTGAGAAAGGCAGACTATCAGTAAATAAATACCTAAGAGCTAGGTCATGTCCAGTGGAATGTTTTGCCTTTCCCCTCCTTCTCTACAGCAGACCTCCCAGACATATCATTTTGAGAAGTTTTGGCAGCAGATTGTCATGTGGTATTAGGGGCTGCTGTTGGAGAAACAGAACTCCAAAGACCCCTTGAGTGGTAGGGACCCAGCCCATTTCTTCCATATTTAGGCAGTAAGGCACACAACATAAGAAGACCCACCCTCCAGAAGAAAATCAGAGGAGCCCTGACCAGGAAAGCCCAGGCAAGCCCGATCTCGTCAGATCTCGGAAGCTAGACAAGGTTGACTCTGGCAAGTACTTGGATGGGAGACCTCCTTGAAATACCAGCAGTTGTGAGGACAGGCAGGCCTTACTCAGTCACCTTTCTGAATATCCTCCAGGCCCTCAGTAGGGGTCAGTCACCAGAGGTCGCCATGACTGCCAGGTGCATGCAGAGTCACACACGTGCGCACACCTGCACATATGAAAAGAAAATCAGGAGTGCAAGGCTCAGATCTGTGTGTGTGAGAGAGAGGGAGGGAGGGGGAGAGAGAGTTAATCTAGCTATAATTAAAGTTAAAATATTTTCCAAGTAATTTTCAGCTATATAGACGACCGTATAAGAAATCAATATCCTGCATAAAAATGTATCCTGCAGCTGTAACTGTCAGAATGCCAGCGTTTTTGCTTTGGAATTAGATCTAGTGACATTTAGGCCCTGAATCAGGAAAGTTGTAACCATGTTCATTGAAAGCACAGAGAACTGTTAAGATGCAATACACTTTGTTCCCTTGGTTTCCACGGGACATACAGCTCGATCCTATTCACATTTTCTCAGATTTAACTCCTTTTAGCAGCGTTTGTCATAAATCGATTAGAGCTTTTGAACACATTCAGGAGTTTTTATTTTGAAGAGTATTTTCATGACACATCCCTGCAAATTTGCTGGGGCGTCTAAATGTTTCAAAAATGTAATATGTGCTTTCTAGGTAGTAGGAAAGTATTTCGCATAAAATCCTTTCTGGAAATGTGCGAGCTCCCAGCCAATTTCCCCCTCATTCTACTATGAGGAACTACACTGTAAAATAAGGAAATATAATATGTGTACATGATAAATATTGGGCTTTTTTTTGGGGGGGGGGTCTTTCTAATATTATTCTAATGTCCGCCTGCAGACCAGGGTGACGAGGACCCAGTCAAAAGCTGCTTTAATGCTTTAGATTTAATGTTCAGAGCTTCTCGTGACAGCAGGACGTCATTGTCGCTACTGCGCATGCCCATAGACTGACAAAAATGGAGCACGCTTGTCACTAATTCGTCGCCACCACGCCTTTCCGGAGCACAGAAGGCCGCTTCTAAAAGGAAAGGGGGGAGGAACCCTTCTCGCTCACCCTACTTTGCTGGAGTCACTTCCTGATACAAATTTCCCCAGAATTGAACGCGGGCGGGCGCACGGTAAAGTAGAAGTTTCTTGCTCACCGGCAAGGACACCCCGGGCGAGAGAACGCCGCTAATGAAGGATGGCGGCCGCAATGGGACCGCCCTCTCTGATGCATTCGCGAGCCGTGCGCGAGCTCTGCCAGAATTCCAGAGAAACGTTTTTAGAGGCCTCCCGCTTGCTGCTTACCTATGCGGACAATATCATCAGGTGAGAGAGGCAGACGGGCCAGCTAGCGATAGTTGTAGGGAGGCTGTGCACAGCTTGCATCTACTTGGTGGTAGAGGCGGGTCGGGATGCGCGATCGACTGGGCGTAAAAAGCTTCTAGATCACAGTTTTGACGGTTGCTAAAAGTGTTGCGGGCGGGCAGGTATTGGTTTTATGGGAGAAATGTTGAATATCTTCGTTGCTGTTAAAGAACAGTGTTTGGCGACTGCCTGGCTTGTAGTACTAGATACATTTTTTGCTGGGTTTAAGCACGGGAGACGCTTCCAAAGCTCCAGCACTGTGTGCACTGTTTATTGTGGCGGCCTCCCTTTCGATCGTTGCTTCTCAATGTTACCTGGAGAAGCAGCCTCTCTAAGCTGCTGAATTAAATTGCGAAACACGTGCGTCTCTTAGGGTGTGATTTTCAGTTGAGCATGTGCAGAGTGCCGTTTCCTCTTCGCTAAGTACCGTATTTGCTGGAACAAGGGGAACAAGAGAAAGGTTTTAGCCAGGAAGTGTGGGTCTTGTAGTGGGGTTGGAGCTACAATATTAACTACTAGAAAGGCTGGTGTGTCCGCAATTGAACAGAACAGGGCTGGAATTTATATTTTGTAGATAAAATTGTTGGGAGAAAACAGCTTTAGTGATTTGGGCAGACTTTCCTGCCGGGACGGCAGCGACTAGAGGGTGGGAAAGAGGAAATCGGGGGAGGGGGGTGGAATACAGGGGAAAATGGGATCCTGGCCCTGCAAGTCCTTGTGCATCCTTCTCTTCATTTGTTTAAAATTCTGTGAGATAATGTGCCAGCTACTTGAATCCCCCCCCCCCAAAAAAATTCGGCTATGAGCAGGGCTTTTTTTGTAGAAAAAGCCCAGCAGGAACTCATTAGCATGATAGGCCACACCCAACTTCAGAAACTCATTAGCATATTAGGCCCCACCCCCATGCCTTCCCTTGGCTTGCCCGGGTGCCCCGTGGCAAGCCAGCCCTTGGACAGGACGGGAGAGGCATTTAAATGTATCCCCGATCCTTGCAGGGGTCCCCCTGGCCCGCCTGCCTTGGAGTTGCCGGGGGGTGGGGTGGAGTCACTCTCCAGGCCTTCCCTCTGTAGCCATGCACACAGAGGTTTTGGCTGTAGTGGGCATGGCCAACTCTGATGCCAGCCGGAACTCCGTTCCTGTGCGTTCCTGCACAAAATTTTTTTCTTCAGTGTTTAGGCAAATAAGGACATGCATGAGTACAATGATAAATACTGGGCTTTATTGTCATTCTGATATTATTCCAAAGGCTGTCTGCAGACTAGGATGACAAGTGGAATTGGTGAGAAACTGGTTGAGATTTAGTGTTTACAGACTCTGATAGCCTGGTCATCATTGTTGCTGTTGTGCATGACCAGAGATGGCCAAAAAAATGGAGCATGCTTGTCACAAATGTCTCACGGCCACCTCTTTCTGAGCATAAATGTTTCTTAAAGGAAGTGAGAAGAATCTTGCTTATTTGCCCCAGTTCTGTGGAGTCACTTCCTGATGCAGGTTTATCCAGAACTGCAGTGCGCCAGCATGTCTTCAAGTATTAGTCTCCTGCCACCAGCAAGAACATCCTAGGCCAAGGATGGATTAGAAAGGCAAAGCTCAAGACCACCAGGGAAGAAGGTCATGTCCCCTCCATGGCTACCAAAGGTGAAAGGGCTGGCCAGTCGCAAGACTGCTCTGAGGTCAATACAGGCAAGGAGATGCTTGCCTCACACTCAGCTGGTACATACAAGGACACTGCACTGGACTGGTCCAGGCGAGGTGAGTATTGCATGGGGCTGGCCTGGGGGAAGTAGCCCTTGTGCAGGGGGCAGCCCCCCAGGCGGTCAGACCACTAGGAGTTTCCAAATGGCCTTAATGGCCAGTCAGCCCCTGCCCTAGGTGGACAAAGTCCAGTAAAGAAGGATGATGGCCACCAGGGGCAGACTGGTTATTAAGAACACTGGGGGAAATCCTGGTGGGCTGATGGCCTGGGGGTCGCCCACTTGCACAGGGGCCACCTGACCTGGGCCAGCTCTGTGCAAGCCTTGCCTCATCCACCCTTCTTTCAAGGAACCTGGGACCGCAATATGGTTCTCCCTTCTTCATTTTATTCTCACCATAACCTGGTGAAGTAAGTTAGGCTGAGAAAAAGAGAGGCTGCCCCCCATATCACCCAGAAAGTTTCATAGTAAAGAGGGGCTTTAAACCTGGGTCTTCCAGATCCTAGATCAATGCTCTAACTGCTAGAGGATACAGACATCTTATTTAGTCCAATATCTAACCAGGGGTAAGTGGCTGGTAGCTCCTTCTTGATGGAGTTAGTTGTGAGACTATTAATTGAGAAATCTTCAATGGACCCAGGTGATTGAAACAGCAGGTAACCTTGGGGAAAAGATGATTGAGCAAGAGGTGGTGGTTCAACTTCATACACTATAGGACAGTGGTGGCGAACCTATGGCACAGGTGCCATAGGTGGCACTCAGAGCCCTCTCTGTGGGCACGCGTGCCATCGCCCCAGCCAGGCCCAGCCCATCATTAAAGTGTTGAATTCTCTGCCAAATAATTTTAAGTAAATGAAAGCATTTGGGATCGCTTTCCTTATGTTGTTTGGATCATCTTAAGTTAATGTATGAGTTGTTTTTTCTAAAGTAAATTCAGGTTAAATTGCCATGTTGGCACTTTGCAATAAATAAATAAGTGGGTTTTGGGTTGCAGTTTGGGCACTTGGTCTCTAAAAGGTTCGCCATCACTGCTATAGGATGACACTCATTCTCTTGACCCATTTCAGTCCTGTTTTCAGTCTGGGTTTGACCCTAAAAATGTGTAGCTGCCCCTGATGGGTTGTAGAGGGGGAATGTAACTGAATTAATTTTCCTGGACCACTCAGTGGCTTTCACTACACCACTGATTATGGGCCACCTATCTGAGTTAGGGGAGGTAGTAAGCCCTGGTCAACTGACAGAGACCAAAAAAAGCTTAATGCAGATAAGATGGAGGCAGTGGTAGTTGGAAAGGCTCATTTATCAGAAGGGAAGAGTCCACCCATTTTGGATGGAGTAAGGTCATGCTTTGCAGATCATGCCAAGAGATTAGGGTTACACTTGGTACAGCTTTGTTGGAGAAACAGGTTGGTGCTGTTATTAAAAGTACCCCCCCCAAAAGTACATCCAGTATGTGTAGTGAGGAGGGAGGAGGATGTTTGCAGCAGTCCATATTTGAGGCAAGGAGTGTCTCTCCCTTGCTTACTTGGGGCGCATTGTCCTTGCATCCCCAGTTGGAGGAGTGAAGGATCCAGTTTCATGTTTCTGTTTTGAGGTATCTGGAAAGCACAGTGTAACCAATATGCTATGCTTCTTTCTCTGCAGACAATCTTGCCCTGATATATATGGCTGGCTTTAGCAGCAGGGCCAATGGAGTATTCCCAATGCCCCACATTTTACAAATGTGCTGTGCTCTAGTAGCCATACAGTTAGATGAATGGTCTGCATTGTGCGAGATGTAGGTTCTGTGTTTGCATCTTTCTCCAGTTCCAGATGGATGTAAACACCAAAAGCTGTGTCAGGCTAAATTAATAGGGGCAGGTTTAATACCATTACTGAAATGTGGGAGCTGCAGTCCTGGTTTGTAACTGATGTAACACCTTGATACAAGTTATTTTCTTAGGCAAGCTTGTTTGGTTTTTTTTCCCCCTTTTAATCCCATTAGCCACCCAGATGAAGAAAAATATCGATCTATTCGGATTGGAAACCAAGCATTTTCCACTAGATTGTTGCCTGTCAGAGGAGCTGTTGAATGTTTGTTTGAAATGGGGTTTGAGGAGGTAGGTACATTCAAATAGAATGTAGTTCTGAGCAACAATGTTCAATACAGCATGTGTTTTCCATTTATTTCATTGTCATCATAGAACTTGATTTCTGTGTTTTTTTCATTCTTACTGAAAGTTGTATTTTGCTTTCTAAGGGAAAGCATAATATCATTTGAATCCACAGAGAGAAATTTTATAAGAAATGTTACCAGTTCTTTAGAAAATTTGTGCATCAGCTTTCTAGTTAGTTCTGTTATTATACAATAAGATGCCTGGAAAATCACCACATACAGGAAGTTTAATCACCACTCGTATCTCCAGTGCTACCAGACATAATCTACACACTTAAGAGGTCTATAGCCTAACACAATTCCATTCAGAATGAAATTGGTGTCAAGAACTATACATTTCTGTAATTGTGTTCAAAATCAAGATTCTTTGTTCAAAGTGCCATTGGTTTGTACACTTCATGTAGCAACACAGTTACCTATGTAACTGTATAAATTAATCATCTGGCCTAACCTCTTACTCAAAAGAAATCCCTGCTCACAAGTTACAGTGAACACATGGACAATGCATTTGTAGTGTACACTTGATTTTTATTTTTACATGTGTTGATTAATTCTCAGGTTACATTCAATGTGTGTACAGCTGACCATGTGAATGAAACCACACATTTATCCAGGTACTGATCTCTGAATTCATTTGTAAAGTGAACAATTGTTGGATATTTTTTAGAAACAGACAAGTGTTTGTAAAATGCAAGAAGTATGTGTAAGAGGTACATGCAAGATGTACATGTGTCTACTGTAACATGTGCAAAGCTAAAGATATCCACCTTTCATCAGTGCCCTCTTCCTGGGATCATCCTAAACAAGGCAGCTCACAGAATACTATGATCATACTATGGGTGCAAAGGAAAGCGATCCAGATGATTCAAGCCAGTGTGCCAAACCACTTACTTCAGGGGAAGGCAAATGTACTTTATTTATTTATGAAACCATTTCTGTCCTCCTTTTCCCTCCATTTAGAATTTTCAAGGTGGCTAATAGACAATCATTAAACAATAAAGGAGTAAAAAAGACAAGTAAAAAGTGTAACATATCCTTAATCACACAGCCCAGTCATAAAAAACAGCAATGAATGAACAGCACAAATTCAGTGGTGTGCAGACCTTAAAGAACGTTGAAACAATAAAGTTTTATCTGGCAGGGAGCCAGAGATAAACAGAGATGGTTTGCCATTGTCTTCCTCTGCAGAGCAACCCTGGCCTTCCCTGGTGATCTCCCATTCCTGGCTGACCCTACTTGACTTCCAAGGTCTAATGAGCTTGGGTTAATCAGGCTCCTGTGACCCTCTGGTTACCTATCAGAAACTGCAACATGAGAAGTAAGTAGGGTTGGCCCAAGGGATTTTGGTGCCCTAAGTGAACTATTACTTTGGCATCCCTCCTCCCACATTTAATATGCAGAGATATAAGGAGGACAGTATTTGATAATTCTGTAACATATTACTATTTTTAAAAAGAGAAAAAGAAATTAACTTATAATTTGGGGCTCCTTAAAGCCTGGCACCCTAGGCTTTAGGATTTGCCTAAATCGGGTTTCCCAATGTTTTTGAACCTGTGTGCACCTTTGGAATTCTGACACGGTGTGGTGGACGCAGCCACAAAATGGCTGCCACAAAAAAGGCTACCACATGTAAAGATCCTTGTGCTGTGGTGGATGCTACTGCCACAGTGATGTTTTTAAAAATCTGCACAGCCGATCAAATCTTCAGTGGCCTATCAGAATCCTTGCTGGGCAACAGCCCCACCCACTTTCTAAAAACACATGGCAGGCAACAGAAAAAAGTGTCAGTAGGTATCACATTGGGGTCCCCTGGCCTATATCGTCATAGGGCAGGCGGCTGGACAAGAACCACTGTGGTGCAATACATAGAGCATTGTCTTTGAGCTGAGAGAGACTCAGCCATAAGATTTCTAGGTAACCTTTGGATAGTCACTGATTTTCTGCCAAACCAGAGGGGTGGGGGTTGTGAGGGTAAAATGGCTAGTCCAAAGGTCCACAAAGAAGTAGCAGAGTAATTCCTATAGAAATGATAGAAACCTTGTTTAAAGAAGACACAAATAATTCTATGCTAGAGGATAATACAGGTGGCATTAGAGGCTGAATATTTAAATCTTATTAATTCCAAATACTTGACTTTTCTAACTGTAATTTCAGGGAGAAACACACCTTGTTTTTCCAATGGAAGCTTCGATTGATAAGCTGCGCAAAATTCGAGACCTAATTGCTGGGGAAAGAACTAGTCGATTAAATGGATCAAATCAAATTGAAAGGTCAGGATCCTCTGAGGGGGTGACAAACGTGGCGTCTGATGCCCCTCAACCATCAAGAAATGCTGATGCTAATCTAGCCCCCACCGACAAGACACTACAGTCATCAGCTGCTGAGTCTGCTGTCATGGTAACCATTGTAGAACTGTATTATGCTGAACAAGAAATTGCATTCAGAAATGAGAGATGAAATTTAAGAACTAAAGTGGTGGTGGAGTAGAGATTATTCTTCAAGTAGTTACTCTTGGGGATATATCTATTTCTATCTATATCTATATATCTACTAGCAGTAAAGCCCGTTGTGAAAGCAATACAACGAGATCTAGAAAGGCTCTGGGGGAGTGCTCTGGCTTTGGGCAAACAGTGTCAATTTGCTGTGGTGACCTCAGCAGGGTATAATGACAGAGTCCACTGTTTTCTCCAGAGGAACTGATCTCTGCTACCTGAAGAGCAGTTGTAATAGTGAGTGATCTGTAGCCCTCACCTGGAGATTGGCAGCAATTGTTACCCAGGACAAAATGGCTGGTTTGGAGGGTGGAGTTGGCAACCCCATCTCCTTCCCAGCTAACCATCAACCTACCATTATCTGCCCCTTTGACTTCAGTTGACCTCTGCCCTCCCTTCTGCAGAGCAGTTGTAATTCTGAGTGCTCTCCAGCCCTCACCTGGAGATTGGCAACAATGGTTCCCTATGTGGGACTGACTGGTTTGGAGGGTGGAGTCTATGGCAGTGTACCTGTCTGAGGTCCCACCCCTCCTCAAACCTCACCCTCTTCAGGCTCCATCCCTCAAATCTCCAGGAATTTCCCATCTGGAGTTGGCAACCCTATCAGGACTGGCCCCAATGTGTTTTCTCCCAAAGGCCAAAGTAGGTGACAGGACCAAGCTTAGTTGCCTACCAACAGGCACTGAGGGGAATGTAGGGTTGCCAGCTCTAAGGAGGGAAATACCTGGAGGTTTGGGGGGTGGATTCTGTAGAGGGCAGCATTGGGCGGCGGGGGGGGAAGGACTCAGCAGGTATAATGTCATAGGGTCTACCCTCCAAAGCATCCATTTTCTCCAGGGGAACTGATCTCTGTCATCTGGAGATCAATTGTAACAGTGGGAGATCTCCAGGTCCCACCTGGAGATTGGCAACCCTAGGGGAAAGTCAGCTGCACAGCAGGGGGTTGAAGAGAATGGTTTGATGGCTGCTGGGCCAAGATTGGCAACAATAGTTCCCCAGGAGCCCCATCGTAAATGCACCAAACAATTCCTAAAGATTTTCCGAAACACTACTCTGTCGATAAATTGCAACAGTTTGAATGAGCACCAAAGCTTTAAGAGCTCTCCAGCTGTCACCTGGAGACTGGCAACAGCTTGTCTGGAGTGTGGGCAGTATGACATTGTATCTGTCTGAGGTCCCCCTCTTCCTCCTCCTCCTCAGACCCCACCCTCAGCAGGCTTCATCCCTAAAATATCCTGGAAGTTTCCAACCTGGAGTTGGCAACCCTATGTCCTTTCCACGCAACCATCAGCCTACCTTGATCTGCCTGTCTGTCTTCTGGTTTACAAACCCCCCCCCCCAGCCTCTGCCAAGGGAAAGGGCAGTTTTTCCCTGCAGTGGGAACCAAAGCAGCTGACATCCTCCTCAGAATACACCAGGTCCCATATTACAACTGTCTTGGGGGGGGGGGAGTTTGAGGTGTGGAATGGAGTGAGGTCCAATCAGCTTCCATATGCAAAAGACCTTGAAACTCTGGGCGGGACTGCACAAAGCAGCCAGTCAACCCAGCCAGCGTCTTCTGAGTGGCAGTTCTTCCGGCCAAACACTAAAGGAGTGCATTTTGGAATGTTGGACTGCGGCTTTATATATAAGGAGAGATATCTATCTATCTGTGTGTGTCTGTGTATATATATTTTCTTCCTCTCAAATATATATATGAGAAGAAAAAAATGAAGCCTGTATCTAGAAAAAGACTGGCATGTGTGATGATGGAGGATATTTCTGTCTTGCTGAGTGTACACATACTAGCGCAATTTCTGACTGTTCCATCTCACATGGAATATAGCTAAGAAGAGGTGTGGGAGCTGTGTTCTAGCAACTGAACTTACAGGACTTACAGAAGTAGCTCCCTCACTCTTCTTACCAATATCTTGTCCTCTATCTCCTGCCATTGATCTCAAGGCAGGAAGATTTATTATGAGAGTGGGGAGAGGAAGATGTTCCAGTAAGGATGGTTCCACACCAGTAAAATGTAGCAAATAAGTTGTTCATTCCCCCCCCCCAGACTCAAGAGCAGGAAGCTGTGAGTGACTTGCTTCCAGATCCCCAAGGGCCAGTTAGAACTCTCATAATCTCTTTTGAGTTGTGATGGCTCTCTGCTTCAAGCACTCTTGCTCTGAGGTGTGGCTTCCTCATGAAGATATCCAATTCTGTGTGAAAAGGTTCTGGCTTCGTTGCCTTTCTTTCACCATGATGGATTGTTCCAGTAACCCAAGCCAGTGGGGTATTTACAGCCACTTTGCCAAGTGAGACTTTCCTGCTTCCTTATTCTTCTGCAGCTAACTGACCCCTCAAAATCGTGTTCCTGGGAGACAGTGGACCCTCAGGAACAACATAGGGAGCACAATGGTGGTTTGTGTTGGGAGCAGGAAATGCATAGAAATCATTACCCCCCTGTTCTGCAAAATGGAAACACTGGAGGAACTGCATTGGTTGGAGACACCACATTATTTCTTTGATGGTATATAAGACCCATTTGTTAGTCAAGAACCTTTGTCCTCATCCCTATATGAGTCAGAATTTATGCACACAGTTTACCCTTTCATATCACAGCAGACTCCTTTATATACAAGGGCTACATATTGGATCTGCATGTGTACCCAGCACAGAAACTTTATCTTTCTGCACAGACAGTCCCTGAACTGATTTAAAGTTTTGCATAGTCTCTTGATTGAAACTGGAAGCTGACTTACACTTACAGACCACTGGTTCACCTAGCCTGGTATTGTCCATGCTTTCTGGCAGCAGCTTTCCAAAGAATGAGGCAGAGGCTTTCCCAGTTCTACTACCTGAAATCCTTTTAATTTGGGTTAATGTTTGGGACCTTCTGCATGCATAGCCTATGTTCTACCAGTAAGCTATGGCTCCTGTTCATGTCTTCATTTCATAAAGCTTGGACAGGAGATGCTTTCCGTGAACGGTGTGGATTGCATCCATGTGAGCATCTTTCTTTAGATTATGTAAAATGGCCATAAAATTCATCCAACTCTTTGAAAATCTACTTATGAAAACTGAAATGAATAAAATTTCCCCCCATTTTTAGACAGGCGAACCAGTTTTCTTAAAGACGCTTCAATCAAACTTTCAGCATGTGATGATATATGAAAACCCTGCTTTACAAAAGAAAGCATTGGCTTGTATCCCAATCTGGGAACTGAAAAAGAAAGCTCAAGATAGTCTAACACAAGCAAGAAAGGTTGATGGAGGTAATAGTTTAAATACAGTTTAGACACTCGAAGACATTAAGAACATTGTCACATAACGGGCATGTATGCGTCTATTACAAATAGCAACGCTCCCCCCCCCTTATTTTTCCTTATTTGTTTATTTTTATATTTTCCCTTTTTCAAAAGAAAATCTCAAAGCAGCTAGGAGATAAGAACTGGTGAAAGCAGCTCATAGGGAAGGGCCTTGCTGTCTCTCTCTTCCTCTTGCTGTCTCTCTCTTCCTCTCCTGCAGAGTGGCTGGCCAGTGATCTGAGAGACAAGGGGGGGCAGGTGACAGTTACCCACAGGAAGGTGATGGACAGTGTTGTGGTTTCCCTCCTGCAGATGTCTATTACTGTAGTGTATCTGTTTCCAAAAACAAAGGAGGTGGTCTCAGAGTGTTAATGCCATTCTAGTCTACATGATCCCAGCCAGGAAGGTGGCTTTTTGAAAGGGATCAGAGCTGATCTGATGAAGGAAACCGATGTGTATTCACTATAGATAGGGGCTCTGGGGCAAGTGATGCTCTGTCTTCTTGGTGCTTGGGGGGGTCAACAGTGGGAGGGCTTCTAATGTCCTGGCCCCACTGGTGGACCTCCTGATGGCACTGGTATTTCTGGCCACTGTGTGATACAGAATGTTGGACTGGATGGGCCTTTGGCCTGATCCAACATTGGCGTCTCTTATATTCTTATGTTCTTATATTGTGCAGTACAACCAGAATAGGATAAACAGCTTTCACAATGGCATAACACTCAGTTTGCCTGGCATTGCATTACTTCCAGTTCCTCTTCAGGTAGATAAAGGAATTATTTAACGTGGAGAGAAGGGTGTCTAATCTCCCCATCCACTTCTTTAAAGACATTCATTTGAGGCTGATTTAAACATGGTGCAAAAGAAGTCAGCCTCTGGACTCTGCATTTGCACAGCATCTTGTTCAAGCAGGGCTGCCCCCTGTACAGAACAGCTATGTGCACTTAGGATTCTGCAGTTATATTCCGCCGGCTTGCTAACTAATATGCCTAGCTGTTTTGCATGGGTGGCAGCATAGTTTAAACGAGACACTGTGAGAATTGGAGTCCCATAGGAGAACTCCTTTGCCTTGCCACTTTGCATTTAAATCGGGTGTAAAAGGTACAGAGAAAGCATTTTGAGAGCTGTATGGATTTAGATCAGAATTTCTGAGTAGTTTATGTCAAAATAGACTAAGTAAAATAGCTTACTTAGTGAAAACAGAAGAGATCAGGTGTACAAGAAGATAAGCACCAAAAAAGCATGCTGCTTTAGCTGAAACTGTCGTAGCTGGGGTAAGAAGACACGTCTGTTACCAGAAATTCAAATACAAATACACAGATTTTAATTCAGTGTAGCTTATTTTATTCTAGAGAGCTATCGCCTTGGTTACCCAGACACTGCTGGTGTCACAGAAGACAGCTTGCTCAAATCTGTGAAATGTAAGGCAAGAAGTCGCCAAGATACGCTGTATTTATGAACACAGGATTCTTCTTATGCTATTACTCGTGTGGTCTAGAGCCAGCCCCCCTATTAGTAGCTCTGTAGTCTATACAATACACACGTAGAGAACAAAATGAGGTTCAGTAAGTTAAAAATTTTGCCTTTGTAGTTTTCTGGCTACCTGTGGCTTTGGGTAGACAGCATGGCTGCTTCGGAACTGAGAGGAATACTAACATGAATATACAGAATAGCATATTTTAAAAATTTAAGTGGAATCAGTTGCATCGTACAGATGCGAGCTGCTTTGGGCACTTTCCTTAATACGCAGAACTTGAATCTGCTAAATATTTTATCCTCATTACAACTTTGGATTCAATCTGTGTAGAATATGTAATGTTTGCTGAGTAATTAACAAGACACATTACAAGTTTTTTTGCTACTTGAGGTTAAGAGTGTTGGACTAGTATCTGGAAGACTCGAGTTCAAATCCCCACATGCCATGGCAGCTCATTGGATGACCCTTAAGCCAGTCACATTCTTTCAGCCTAACCTGCCTCACAGGGCTGTTGTGAGGATAAAATGGAGGAGAGGACAATAATATAAGCCATTTTCGGTCCCCATTGGGGAGAAAGGTGGGATATAAATGAATTAAATAATGTGCTTTTGATTTGACTCTGAGCAGCTGAATTGGGCTTCAGAAAGAACCTCATGAAGCTTGATAGTTTGCTTTTTTTTTTTAATCTGTATTGTGACTCTCTCATTTTATGGGGACCAACTTCATTGCAACACCTTATTTATTTACACAGAAAACTGCAAGCTTGGTTTCCAGGTTAGCTAGAGAACAAAAGGCACTCTCAGATACCATAGTCTGCATATCTTTAACTGAAGCAATACTTTTGTTCTTGCTGTGAATATCATTAAAGCTATGTATGATGTGTTTACCATATGATATTTAGGGTGTGTTCAGTTTCTCCAAACCTTTTTTTAATTATCACTACTGGTTTTTGAAAGACATGAGGAATATGGACCATGATGTTCTCCTTATTGGTAATGTAGGCCTGTCAGTGTCAGGGGGTGATGGTAGCTTCTAGGCTTTCATCAGCAATTGAGGCAAAGATTTCTTGTTTACTCACTGGGGGACCACAGATTGATGAAGAAGACTGGACAGGCTACCTTGCAGAGATCTCAAGAACCAGTTCGGCCTTTAGCTGCTGTTGTGCTGAAATACCGCAGGCTTTATACTCTGGCTTACCCAGCCATCTTTATTAAACCCAGAGAGCTTCCTGGTAAGCACTCAAGGCCTCCCTGCCCCTTTTTCATTCCATATTGGTGATGGGAGCCTGTCACTGTCTCAACAGTCGTAAGTGCCACCTCTCTGTAGTTCAGAAACCCAGGCTGTGGCCATGAAGAGTTCATTCCTGGTGTAGGCAAGAGCAGCCTGCGTCTGTGGATCCAAGCTTCTGTGGGTTCATTTGGCTAGTAAGGGATCTGTGCCGTGGCATGTGAGAGTGGGAACAGATTGCTGTAGCCATGACATGAGAGTGAGAAGCAACATCACTGTCCAGTACAGTAGCCTACATCTCTCCTAGCAGCACTGCAACTTTATTTATTTATTTAATTTATTTAGGCATTTTTACCCCACCCTCCCCGCAAGCGGGCTCAGAGAGGCTTACAAGGGGCGACAGCCCATGCATAAAATCCAATAAAACAATAGAATCATAATAACAATAATACATAACAACAATAATAAAGTGCTTCAATAACAAGATGGTCCTGAGTGATTATGATGGCATCTTCAGGTCAGCCCCGTTGACTTAGCACTGTCCAGCAGATTGTTCATGCGTTGTCAATATCACACAATATATGGCTGAGCTTCCCAGGGCGATCTCAAATGCTGTTGGCGTTGCCTGGCAGCGGCGGCCCCTATGTGAAAGCCTGGCGGAAGAGCTCCGTCTTGCAGGCCCTGCGGAACTGCATAAACTTTGCTCTAATCCAGCCCATCTTCCTGTAATGTTAAATCCTGTAGCCTCTCAGTTTCCAGACACTGTGATCAGTGTTTATGCTTCTAAAGTCAACCAGTTGCTTCCCATTAGCAACCTCTTGGGGACTGACACCCTCAGAACTGCAAGTCTCTTAGAGACCAAATGGGGCTTAACCAAGTAAAGCTTAGCCTCAGCCTCAGGTGTCTAATTTATACATTTAGAAAAATGAAAGCATACTGCAGCTTCCATTCCAGATTTGATATAAAATATTAAATGAAGTACAATTATTATTTCAAAGTAAATCTGTGATTCTTTTTGAAAGTGCTTTCACTCCAGTTATGCATAGTTTCTGCAGATAACATATTCAAATTCATTTAATTAGATACCTGAAGATCTGGTCTTAATTGCTGTATGTTTTATTTTTCAGGCACCCTTGTGAATGAGCAGGACTTTCTGTTGCTGGAGCTTTTGAACTGGTTTAAATGTGATTTTTTCCAGTGGGTAAACAACCTTCCTTGCAGCAAGTGTGAGGGCCAGACAGAATCTAAAGATAACTTGACACCTAGCGAGGATGATCTGAGATGGGATGCAAGTCGAGTTGAAAATCACTTCTGTAACCAATGCCAATTGAGCAACAGGTTTCCAAGGTGAGTGTGATATGTAGATGGTTTCATGGTTTGGTCTGTGTCTGAAATGTTTGCGCTTGGTACATTTGGGAGCTAATAACCATTCTTTGCAGTACAATGAAAATACTGGGCTGTAACCAAAGTTCCATGGGTGGAGCTTCATTTTGATTGCTGCAATCCCCCCCCACCACCACTCCTGAAGGTCAAAGGATCCTTGGGGAAAGTGTGGGAAGTACACTCAGGAGCTGCAGCTCCAAGGCCAAATCTGTGAAAATCATGGACAACTTGCATGAATGATTTTTGCTTACATAAGGACTGCTTTAAATCCAACCCATTTTGGATTCAAGCCAGTTTGGTGTAGTGGTTAAGAATGGCGGACTCTAATCTGGAGAACTGGGTTTGATTCCCATTCTTTCACATGCAGCCAGCTGAGTGACCTTGGTCCAGTCACAGTTCTCTCAGTGCTCTCTCAGCCCCACCTACCTCACAGGGTGTCTGTTGTGGGGAGAGGAAGGGAAGGCAACTGTAAGCCGCTCTGAGATTCCTTTGGGTAGTGATGAGTGGGGTATAAAAACCAACTCTTCTTCTTCTTCTTCATCTTCTTTGCTGTATTTGTATGTTTTGCTGTGAAATAGCTTAGAGTAATTTCTCACTTTATCACATTTACAGTAGTGAAAGGAAGGAGTCTGCACACATTTAGAGGTACTGTCTTCAGTGACATCATACGAGGGATGAGGACTGGTATAGGAAACAGGTTTCAGAGCTGAACCTTGGTAGTCTGAATGAATGCAAAATATTGAAATGCTTATGTTAGTTCAGTTGACTATTCTCAAAGAGTCAGATATACTTGAAACTGTGTTTAGTGAATCAGAGTACTGGTCCATCAGGGTCAGTATTGTTGACTCAGGTTGGCAGCAGCTGTCCGGGGTCTCAGATAGAAGTCTTTTGCATCACCTACTACCTGATCCTTTTAGCTGAAAATGCCAGTGATTGAACCTGGGACCTTCTGCATGCCAAACAGATTGTCTACCATTGAGCAAAGATTTCATAGGGCAGGTGAGCATGACAGCATGCAGAGATTTTTTGCAGCTGTCACACTTGCAGAAGAATGAAGTGATAAACTTTAGAGGTGCTAGAATGGACTAGATTGCAGGTGTGTGCCATTTTTAATGGGATATGGAAACTACTGGGATAAGACCCTTGCCAGTGAGAAGTAGCATATTGGAGAGAGCAGCTGCAGCCCAGCTTACTTTGTTTTGTGCTCGTTTTCTACTTCCATAAAAGTTGGAAAGCAGTGCAAAAGTGTGATCCCTCACCTGCTGCTTTAAGAGAGCTGCACCACCTGCTGCTACAGTCCATTCCTTTACCTCACCATTCTGTGACCTCGTTCCACTAGATGTGTAGACCAGGACTTAGGTTTAATGGTTTTAGGTTTCCTTGATAATGGCTGCAAAAAACAAAATAAACCCACAAGTTTTAACCTATTTGCACAGGTACAATAATCCCGAAAAGCTGCTGGAAACTAGACGTGGGCGCTGTGGAGAGTGGGCCAACTGTTTTACCCTCTGTTGCAGAGCTATAGGTTTTGAAGCAAGATACGTTTGGGATGCAACAGGTATCATATCACCTTATAGTATTACTAGGGATGTAAGATGTTCTCTGGTGTATCCTGAATTAGTACTAGTGGAAGTTCACTTAAATTACTGGAATTATTCTAAGATAGCCGTTCGTGGCTAAGAAAGGGCTGCAGTGGAAAGGGGTAGTGGGATTCTGAGGTGGCAAAACCAGGGCTATTTTTGGGCAGGAACGCACAGGAACGGAGTTCCAGCTGGCTCCCAAGTTGGCCACACCCAGCAGGAACTCATTAGCATAATAGGCCACACCCAGCAGCAGGAACTCATTAGAATCGGCTACATTAGGGGTGTGTGGCCTAACATGCAAAGGAGTTCCTGCTACAAAAAAGGCCCTGGGTTTTGACAACAAACAAGGTAAACAGAATAAGAAGCAAAAGGTGGGTGTGGCTGGATGACCACACTTTTGGTAACATGGGAATGCGGCCTAATATGCTAATGAGTGGTGCAGTCAGGGGGTGTGGCCTAATATGTTAATGAGTTTCTGCTGCTGTGTGTGGCCTATTATGCTAATGAGTTCCTGCTGGACCTTTTCTACAAAAAAAGTCCTGGGCAAAACAGATGGTTCCGTTTCAAACAGCAGGTGAAGAAACTCCTTTTTAATAGTCTGTCATGGGGGGGGGGAGAATGCTTTTAAAGATTGTTTTCACGTATAAGGAATTAATAATATAGGGGAACCCAGAAAAAATGAAATCCCTCTTCAGCAGTCTGAAGTGATGCCGCGTATTCTGCTAGCTCAGCACTTAGCCATTCTATACCAACTCGTTCTGCCAAAGATAAAGATAGCAAAATATTTTTACGATAATTAGGGGTCCCGGACATTGCTATGTGTCAAAGAAGAAAACTGTATTTCAGTTTCATCTGATTCATTTGCCAAAAGTATGTATTGTGGCCAATACTGAGACATTTCCTTGGACCTACCAGAAGATTTCTGCATGAAATAGGGTCCTTGACAAGTGTAAGTATGAGGGAAAAGAAAAAAAACCCCTAACACTAGCTCCTTGTCCCAAGTGAAACATAGCATATCTTGAGCCATTTTTATGCTTGCATGTCAACTTGTACAAGCAATTCCTGGGCACTGTAAGATATAGAAAAGACTGCTATGTGTTAGAGAAGATTTTGCGTGAGTAGAACTGCAGTAAGTCTGTGTTTATGCTCACTGGATCCAAACAGCTTATTAAGTGAGGGAAGCTTTTTGTTTTCTTGATTGGTATCAAGTGCTATGTCAGAACTGTATGATAAACTAGAGCTGCTGCTGCCTGACATCTTTTACTCACTTCTAGTATTCATAAAGTTATTAGTATGAACATCAGAGCACTGCTATAGGATTGCTCGACATTTTTGTTAATTTTATGCATTTTTCATGTGATGTTAGAAGTGGCACTTAATAAGGTCTTCTTGGAATAAGTGTATTTAAATGTTCTCCGAAAATCATGGCCTTCATGGGAAATTCACTAATACGCTTTTGACCAGGGCTATTTTTGGGCAGGAACGCACAGAAGCGGAGTTCTGACTGGCTCCCGAGCTGGCCACGCCCAGCAGGAACTCATTAGCATAATAGGCCACACCCAACAGCAGAAACTCATTAGGATTGGTTACATTAGGGGTGTGTGGCCTAACATGCAAAGCAGTTCCTGCTACAAAAAAAGCCCTGGGTTTTGACCACAAACGAGGTAAACAGAATAAAAAGCAAAAGTTGGGTGTGGCTGGATGACCACACTTCTGGTAACATGGGGGTGCGGCCTAATGTGCTAATGAGCTGTGCTGTCAGGGTTGTGGCCTAATATGCTAATGAGTTTCTGCTGTTGGGTGTGGCATATTATGCTAATGAGTTCCTGCTGGGCTTTTTCTACAAAAAGAGCCCTACTTTTGACGTTCTTATTGTAGTTTGCTTCTCGTTGCATATATTTTCACACAGATCTCATCTTTATACTCCCCCTCTAGGATAGTTGACTTGTTGTAATCGTGCTGGATAAGGGCAATTATGTATTTGTACTGATGCGCCTGTAGAAATACCAGTAATTATAATAAGGGGGGGGGGGAGAAGGGAGAGGACCTTAAGGTAAATCTGGTCTCTGTGGACCTATGAAATAACCAGGCCTGTGAAATAGCAAGAAATCACCTTTTGCATCCCTCCATAATAGCAGAAGTTGTTACAATATACATAATGCAGGGGTGTTTATAGTGCATAAAATTTAGTGAAAAACCAGCCTTAGCTCAGTTTTTCTGATTTAAATTAAAAAATAGGCTCTGCTACTGAAAGAAGGAGAGATGAGAGAGTAGCTGGCAATGAGGGACAATAATTTATCAAAACTGATTATGTAGTACCTGTTTAATGAGGCACTGACTTTCATGGCAGCTCTCCTAGCAAAGGGGGCACTAATCAGAGGGAGAAAACGAGGTGAGCTTTAGATTATGTCATCTCCTTTTAGTATTTCCAGTAATGAGTTGCTCAAAGGCAGATGGCATAGGTAAACCCACACACCTTAGAATAGTGGCAATCACAACTATATCTTGTGCAGACCATTTAATGGGTCTTACAATGCTCAAGTGAAAGGAAGATGTGTAGAAAAAACATTTGGTTGAGATTATTTTGTGTTGAAAATATCTTTAAAGTATGTATCAAAAATTATATTTTAGTTCTTCAGAAGGTTAAGTGGAGGGTTTGGGATTAAAGATAAAAACTAATGTTATGTATTTTTTTTAAAAAAAACATTTGCATTCCACCTTCTGACTAGAAACAAAGCAAAGGCAGGTAACGAAAATCCAATCAGTAACAGTTATAATAATAATAATAACAACAAATTATAACATGCAAATAACTAAAAGTATCAGGGGAGTGGCAGGGAGCACAATGAATAGGCTAACACTGCACTTTTTTTTTAACTTGATGGTAAAATGCTGCGGTGGCTCAAGTGGTTAAGATGCTGAACTGCAAGCTGTGGAAGGTCGGTAGTTCAGCAGTTCGAGACCCGGGTGCCGCAAGACGGATTGAGCTCCCGTCTCTAGTTCCAGCTCCTGCCAACCTAGCAGTTCGAAAGCAAGAAATTGCAAGTAGATAAATAGGTACCACTTCAGTGGGAAGGTAACAGTGTTCCGTGCGCCTTGGTGTTTAGTCATGCTGGCCACATGACCACGGAAATGTCTTCAGACAGCACTGGCTCTTCGGCTTGGAGATGAGAACTGCAACCCTAGAGTCGTATTCGACTGGCTTTCGAGCAAGGGAACCTTTACCTTTAAAATGCTATTAGGGATTGTGCAAGGTGGATGTCCAGAGACAAGGCACTCTGTAATATTGGCATGACTGTCTAAAATCCCAGGCCACTTCAGCCATACTGCGTAATTCTGCTTGAAGTGGTACATGGAACAGGTTCTCAGAGGCAGAACTCGTAATCTGATAGGCTCATGGACAGTAAAAGGTCCTTTAGGTATCTTGGTTCCAAATTATTTAGGGATTTTAAGGCCAGAACTTTAAATTGGGCCTAGAAATAAACTGGCATCCAGTGATGCTGATATGAAGTAGGTATGCCCCATCCAGGGAATTCAGTTAGCAACTGGATTTCTACAGTTTGCACCAATGGAAGTTTCCAGCCAATTTCCAAAGAGAGCACCATATATAGCAAGTTAAAATAGTCACTTTGCTACTTTTGTGATACTTTTAGTTAGTTTATTCAGTTAAAATATAACTAAAGTTTGACCTATTGTACCTAGAAAAAGTCCTTTAGGTATCTTGGTTCCAAATTATTTAGGGATTTTAAGGCCAGAACTTTAAATTGGGCCTAGAAATAAACTGGCATCCAGTGATGCTGATATGAAGTAGGTATGCCCCATCCAGGGAATTCAGTTAGCAACTGGATTTCTACAGTTTGCACCAATGGAAGTTTCCAGCCAATTTCCAAAGAGAGCACCATATATAGCAAGTTAAAATAGTCACTTTGCTACTGTTGTGATACTTTAGTTATAAAGTTTGACCTATTGTACCTAGAAAAAGGTGCAGCAGGTAAACATATTCCTGTCCATTGCCCCTGCCAGAACATCCCGTTGCAGCATCAGAACAATTTCCATTCAAGAGTACCTTTGCCGTTTTAAAATAAAGCTTTGACTGTGTTCCCTTACACAGACCTGACTGATTTAGAGTTTCCTCTGCTTCTTAAAGATCAGATGGAACACAGAGAGAGTGGGGGTAGTCCAGATACTGGTGATATCAAATTCCAGATCCCTGGGTAGCCTTCCCCAGCAAACACGTGGACTATAAGAACCTTGTGAAATTCTCTAGGTCATACGACAGATAATCTCCTAGATCCACATTTTGGGATCTACCTGCCAAGAAAGACTGGAACCACCTCAACACTGTACTCCCATCCCAGCAAGCAAACATAAAGTCAGCGGCATCCACAAAAATGAACAGGGATGCACTCCTCCCATGACTGCTTCCCAGCACAGGGCACTCAGTAGGAAGGCCAAAGCAATCTGAATCCCAAAGCAAGACTGACTAATAAGTCTGGTGCAAGAAACTGGGGAGCTGGGTACTCATAACCCATTTTAATACTTGGAATGGTAGAAACCAGGGGTCATTTCGTAGAAAAAGAGATGCAGGAGCTCATTAGCATGACTTATTTGCATATGCCACATCCCCTGATATCACCGGAAGTGTGTCAGAAGGCAACACCCACCTAGAGATGTAAAATTTTCGGAAATTTTGAAGCTCGGAAAAAACCCCGGGTTTTTTTCGGGGGGAAACGGAAATTTTCAATCTGATACCATATATATATATTTTAGAAATGATTTGGAAAATATTTGAACACCTTGTCTTAAAATATTTTGTTCATCATGTTAAAATAAAACGTTCCATAATCAATTTTTTTCTTTTCTTTTTTCAATTTTTCAGAAAAAATCAAAAAAGGCTTCAGGAAAAAAATGGGGGAAAATGGTTTTTTTCCGAATTTTCCCGGGTTTTTTCCAGGCTTTCACATCTCTACACCCACCACTCAGGCTCCACTGGACTGTTTTGGATTGCAAGCTATTGGGGGGGGGGCATGCAGATCTGTCCTTGCAGAGGAGGGAGACCTTGTACCTGAATAAAACTTGGTCTTAAAGGTGCCACTAGAGTGTTTTGGACTGGGGGGGGGGCTTTGCAACTTACCTGGCTGCTTCTCGCTCTGACTGAGGGCTGCTGGGAGCAGGGGGTGGGGCTTGTTGCATGTGCCCGCCCCCTGGGCTCTTTACTGCCGAAGGTCCTGTGCGCTCCTGCAGGAAATGACCCCTGGTAGAAACAGCAGAAGTTGTTCAAATGGTCTTGCCATGGAGGACTATTCCTTCCCTTAAAGAAACAGTTAGAATCTTGATAACCCAGCTTTCCAAACTTCTGTGACCAAACCATGGAAGGTATGGTTCATGGCGAGATACTGACATTAGGTCTCACAATTCCAAGGATCTTGTACACATACGCAGGTTGCATAGACTGAAAGCATCCATCAAAATAGGACAAACTGAAGTTGTACATGGGTACAACCAGAACGAAGTTGAATGCTTTGGATTTTGAAGAGCTCCGTTAGCTAAGATAGAAAAAATTCCTTTCTGAGATGAATGGTTTTCCTTTGGGTTTTTTCTTCCATAGATCACGTGTGGACAGAAGTTTATTCTTCATCACAGCAGAGGTGGCTTCACTGTGACCCTTGTGAAAATGTCTGTGATAAACCCCTTCTGTATGAGATTGGATGGGGGAAAAAACTCTCCTACATTATTGCGTTCTCTAAAGATGAGGTAGGAGGAGCAATAACCCTTTGAAATAAAGACAATGCTCCCTGTTCCAGAAACAGCATTGTCTTTAAAAATTGATTGCTTGTTTATCTTTTAAAAGCAGTCTGATAGGTTCAGAGCAAAGAGATCTTCTCTTGACTGGAATACATCTAATATTCCAGTGTTTGAAATTCTGGTTGCTAAATTATGTTTTCTTTTGCAATTCACATTTCAGGTTGTTGATGTAACCTGGCGATATTCTTGTAAACATGATGAACTACTTTCTAGAAGGACACAGGTCGAAGAAGCAGCACTACGTGAAACCATTAATAACCTTAACAAAATGGTATCTTGGTTGATTAGACAAAATTAAAAAGTACTTGGGGGGGACAATATTTGAATTGGGAACTACATATTTACTGTGTTGCAGTTTGCAGATATCATAAAAGCAACAATTTTTATAATGTTGAATGTATACATTATTAAAGACCATTAAAGGAAAAAATACAACATTTCACCTTTTATTTTATGCAAATATTTTAAAACACCAGTGAACACATGACAGCATATGGCACAGGAGAAAGGCAAGAGGACTCACTCCATCACCATGCTCTGTAAGGGGAAGATGTGTTCTGTTCTTTATACAGAGAGCAGAGGTTATTACAAGAGGTCTCTCTCTTCTGTGGCCCAGTAGTACTGCTAGCTAAATTAGAACGAAGTATACCCATTGAAGCCCTGTGGAAGTGAATGAGACGTCAGTGAGCACATAATAACATACATGTGGATTCAACCCTGATTAAATTCAGCAAATATCAATGCTGTACTTTGATACCTGGAATGTAGCTGAGTTCACAGCTGTTTTTAGTATTATCAATAGCAAAGTCATACATAGTTTAAATGCAACATGAAAACAACATTTTTCCTTTTCTAAATTCTTAACTTTTAATCGTTCAACAGAAACTAAGTTCTGTATACTGACAGATTTATTGAAAACTCATGCCATTTAATCTGAACTGTAGCTGATTCGGTTCTTTCAGTTAAAAAGGTGGAACTTATCTTGTAGAGACAAAAGCATCCATAACTTTCCAGTTCCAAATGATTGGGTTCATCAGGACTGATACTAACAGGACAGTTAACTTAGATCAGTTAACTAACATCAGCCTGTGTGGCCAAAGGCAACCTGCCTCCTAATTCCTCAGACTATGGTGGTGGCAAATGAGTCTTCGGGAGTGGGAAGGAGAGAGAGTAAACCACTGGCCTGTTTTCACCAATTTCAATCTGTATTTGTTAACTGCATTAAGTTCTTCTTTTGAGTAAACAAAGGCAGGATTTAAATATAAAACAAATATATTTTCCAATTCTGTGTTGATTCAGATTAATTAAAATATATTAAATGTTGATGATTTATTTAATTCTTTTTCTCTTCTTGTAATACAGTCAGCTGAGACTAGAAATATAGTTGAAGTTGAACTTATTTTTACCATGATTATTTTAACTCTTAGAGACAACAATCTGTAACTGAAGGCAGAAGAAGGGAGCTGTTAGAGAGGATCATTGTGGAGCTTGTTGAATTTATTTCTCCAAAGATTCCAAAGCCAGGAGAACTTGGTGGCAGGACATCAGGATCCATTGCATGGAGAGTAGCCAGAGGTGAAATTGCCTTACAGGTATTTAGTACACTTGTTGATAATTCTTTACTACTACACCACTGTAATCAGGAGAACAGTAAAGTTCAATTTGCATTAGCAGTTACCCAAAACAAAGAAGTATCATACCAAAGTAACAGCAATCATGGAACAAAAAACTAGCAGACAAAATATGTAGCAGTGATTCACTCAAATCAGTTGACAGCAACTATCCTAAGTACAATCCTGCCCACATGCCAATGGAAAAAAAAATGTTCCATGGCTGCAAATGTAAATGCTGCCACAAATTGAATAATCAATGAAATGTTTTCTGTTGGTTTGACTAGTGCTCGTTTCAGTAACTGGTCCCTTCTCCTACAGATAGTATTAGCTAAAATACACATTTCTATTCTGCTCACCTAAGATTGCAAACGGTATTTGAACTCTCCTTAAAACCAGTTAAATCAAATAGATTTTGTTAAAGATCACATTTCTAAGATAAAGAATCTGATCCTTTGATATTTTTGATGTCGGAGGGGAAAAGCTGTGAGATAAAAGACCTATAGATCTGTGAGAACTGTGACTGACCCAAGGTCACCCAACTGGCTTCATGTGGAGGAGTGGGGAATCAAACCCAGTTCTCCAGATAAGTGTCCGCCACTTACTTTTAACCACTGCACCAAACTGGCTCTCAAACAAAGATGATTAAGGGGTTGTGGCATGTTTCCTATTGTCAGATATGGAATATAGAGTGTATATGTAACACTGGTTGCTTAATGCATTATGCTTTATGAAATGCTTCATTAAATGCTTATATATCTGCATCTAAGTCTGCAGGATCAAAGATTTACATTTGCAATTGTTCTTAAAACTTTCTGTATATTCAGCAACTTTAGCTCAGGCAGCCTGCACAGCAATGCTTGCATGCAACAAACAGGTTTGGCCAAGCTTGGGCGAACGAGAAGTGTGAATGAGATTAGTTTAGGATACATAAATGTTTTCATTAAAGCTTTATTTCATTTTAAAAGGATCCTTCCCTGAGAATCTGTCTGTTCGCTGCTGGTTTCGATCCCATGAAGGCTGGAGCCCTGCTCCTGGGTCTGAACAGCCCAAAGACCTGTTAGCCTAAAAGGCTAAAGAGTCTGAGGCTTTTCATTTTAGAAAAAAGAAAGCTGGGTGGGGCAAAGTGAAGTTTTATAAAATTATGAGTGGATAGAGAGCACTCCCCCCCCAATAATACTAAAGGTCACCCAATAAACCTGATAGACAAAAGAAAATAATAGCTTCACTCTATGAGTAATTGTTTTTGTGTGTGTTTATTTTATGTTTGCTTTTACTTCATTGATATCACACATTTTTCCACAGTGGAGACCCAAAGTGGCTTACAACATTTTTCCTTTCTCCATTTTATTCTCTTAACAAAGCTATGAGATAGGCATGGCTGGGAATGTGTGACTAGCCCAAGGTCCCCCAACAAGCTTCCATTGCAGAGTTGGAATTCGAACCTGGGACTCCCAGATGCTAGTATGACACTCAGTGTGGATATAGCGATGGCCTCAAGCACAGATGGCTTTAGAAGGGGATTAGGCAGATTCATGGAGGATAGATCCCTTAGTGGCTAGTAGCCATGGTGACTACAGGGAACTTCCACATTCAGAGACTGAAAACTAGTGCTATGAGGCAACATTGGGAAAGGTCCACCTTTATGCTCTGTTAGTTGGCCTTCCAGGGTAACTACTTGGTTACTGTATGAAACAGGATGCTGGATTAGATGGATCACTGGTATGATGCAGCAGGGCTTTTCTTATGCCTTTCCCAGAAACTAGTGAGGAATAATTAGAGTCCTCCTGCATCAGATCATGAATAAAGTTTTCACAGTAGCCACAGAGTAAAATGTAGTCCTTGAAGTTATTGGAAAGGATGGGAAACTTGGCAATATTTTGAATGCAAGATAAAAAAGCAAGAATTTTAGACAGCATCATATTTGCACGTTTGCAAGACGAGACATGAAAGGTGAGTGTGGAGAGAGGAAAAATCTTTAGTGAAAAGAACTGAAGTTCCACCTTCATGCTTCTGACCAGTTGCTCCCCCTCCCCCCCCAGGCATTTTCAATGAACTGTCTGATTTGTTTCCTATTAGAGTCCTCATAACAATTTTCACACACACATATATAGTAGACATGATAAATCAGTCATAAAACTAATATTTAATGCAATCCTGACTTGCAGTTTTCATTTCTGTTAATTAGAACAAGGAAGTTGTTTTTATTCCAACCGGAAAAGAGAAGACATCTAAGTTTCTCCACCTCAGATATAATATAGTGAAAGATTGTTATGTGCGAATATCCAATAACAATGAAAGGATTAGTGGTTGGGAGAATGGCATATGGAAGATGGAATCTGTATGGAGAAAGGCTGAATCAGACTGGAAAATGGTGAGTATCATGCCAAGGAAAATTATTCTATTCTAATTGCCTTCAACCTTTCCAGGCCTAGGACAGAGTGAATGATAAGCACATAACATCAAGGTCATGTGATATTGAAGTCACACGACAGGAAGAGGGAGAGCTACAATTATGACTGCACCAGCACCAAGGCTTGGATCGTGGGCAATGGACCAAGAGAGCTTGAGAGAGGAAACTCAAGCTAAGCACTGTAGTGTTCCATAGTGAGGAACAAGCCACGCCTAAAAGCCATGGAAGGATCCTCTGCACCACTGAGTGATATCACCATCCTGTTGCTCCTTTCAAAGTGTGGGTGAAGAGAGTCACAAGGTGTGGTGCCCATGCTGTCTGTGTTTCTAGCACACCCTTCCAAAAGGCAGCAAAAATATGGAAGCCCTGTAGGGGCTTTGTGACCTCTTCCTGTGAGTTCTGACCCATGAGTTGAAGACTGCTGTTTTAGAGCACTTTTTCACTATAAACATAGGTATAACTATCAAATCATAGTGTGCAAAGTTTATTTTTGCACCAGCCCTTCTGTGCATATTTCTGTATTCAACAATAGTTGGTAACATCCAGTTTCAGATAAGATTATTGGCTGACAGAAAACTGGGAATGGAAGCTGCTTGTTTTTTGGAACAGGATGGTGGAATTGGCCACAGATAACAAATCTTTTTATATTTAACCTTAAATCTGACATATTCCATCCAGAGGTAGATTAATACAGAAGATGTATTCAATAAAAATGATGCCTTTCCAAAGAATTTATTTTTTGGCTGCACAGAATGGGCTTTATATCTTCTCTTTCCATTGCACACCAGTAGGTAGAATTTCTGTATTCTAAATGTTACTTTCCTACCTGCAGAAAGCCAAAATGTCAGTCACCTTGCATTAATGAAGGTCTCAGCTAAGTTTATTTCTATTCATTGCAAAACTTATGTATTGATTGAACACACACTTCAAACCTACCAAAATAGGCAGATAGCTATATGGGAAAGAAAGCATTTCCAGCAGTCAGTATGAATGGAACAAGACAAGTGAAATGCATGTCCTAACATAGCACTGGATCCTGTACCTGCAGTACCCTGAGAAAGATCACCACATCTAATTCCAAAGGCTGTATTTGTAGATCTCTGTGCTGGATGAAGTCCAAGCATACAGCCCCTGACAGACACATGTGTTAGTTTCAGTAATTTGTTTGAAGAGGGGACCAGAATTCTGCCCCTCTTCTTCATCCCTGCAACAAGAAACATCGTTGAAACTGTGCTAATAGCTGGTCGGATCCTAACCACACACAGACTTCCACTTATGGAACAAGGGTTTCCCATCTACCCTTTCCAGCTGCATCCCATGATATCCCCCTAAAAGCTTCTCTTGAATGACTGGGACACTTGGGAACAGTTTGAGATTTGGCCTTGGTGTGTGTTTGGGGAGGAGGTGCTGCTAGAGAAAAGTACCTGCAAAAATTGTGAAGCTCCTTTTGCATGAGCAGAAATGCCCTTTGGAGCCAACTCTCTCTCTATGGTCTTGTTCCATCCACACTGGCTTCCAATTTGCTTCCAGGCTCAATTCAAGATGCTGGTATTGACCTTTAAAGCCCTGTATGGCCTGGGACCACATACCTTAAGGACTGACTTCTCCCATATGAACCTGCCTGTTCACTCCAGTCATCTTCAGAGAACATGGTTCTGTTGTCCCCCCCTCCCTCATCTGAGGCTAGATGGGAGTAGAGATGTAAAATTTCCGGAAATTTTGAAGCTCGGAAAAAAACCCGGGTTTTTTCCGTTTTTTCCGGGAAAAAACGGAAATTTTCGGAAAAAATGAAAAAAATGCTACATTAGCATTTCTTTTGTCCTTTCTAGATTGAAAGTCATTCTGTTACTTTAGGAACATAAAATATGACTATGGACATTTTTATTTGGCATGAAATTATCACAACTAGCATATTAAAAATATAGTGTATCCAAACAATTATTACAAACAGAATACCCACCCACATGCAAAAACAAAACTGAAACCTTTTTATTGTCTTCTGACAATAGCACCTCCTAAAGGAAGAAATGCATCTTGCATTGGAGAGTTCAGTTTGTAACCTAGGACTTGCTTGTCCTCAGTGCACAGAAATTAGATCAATCTGATACCATATATATATATTTTAGAAATGATTTGGAAAATATTTGGAAGCAGGAACAAGAAAGGGAAAAAAACTAAACCTAACAAAGAACTCCAAAACCAAACAAAGGTTAGTGGAAAGGAGGGCCAATATTAAAACCTTTTCATAAAAAGAGGTATATAAAACATATATAGGGGCCCAATTACAACCAATATATATAAAACTTTTTTAGCCCTGGTTATGGTTATGTTTTATATATATTGGTTGTAATTGGGCCCCTATATATGTTTTAATTTGTTATTATTAATAAATACATGTACCTCTTTTTATGAAAAGGTTTTAATATTGGCCCTCCTTTCCACTAACCTTTGTTTGGTTTTGGAAAATATTTGAACACCTTGTCTTAAAATATTTTATTCATCATGTTAAAATAAAACGTTCCATAATCATTTTTTCTTTTCTTTTCTTTTTTCAATTTTTCCAATTTTTCGGAAAAAAACAAAAAATCTTCAGGGGAAAAAACGGAAAAAAAACGTTTTTTTCCCGAATTTTTCCGGTTTTTTTCTGGGCCTTCATATCTCTAGATGGGAGGCAACTCGAGAAAGGGCTTTCTTGGTCGTGGCTCCAAAACTTTGACACTCCCTCCCCAGGGAGATTCATCTGCCTCTCTCTAATGGTGTCTTCACCTGTTTTTTTTCATTTGGCATATCCCCAATAATGGATATTGTCTCTCCTCCCTGATTCTGGTGGTGTTTGTTTATGGGTTTTATTGAATTACTTTATAACTTTTAATATTGTTTTGAATTCTTTTAATGTTTAATTTTATGCCTTGGGGACCGTGATTGGGGGGAAGGCCAGGATAAAAATGTGTTAAATATGGTGATAAGCACATGCAGGTTTGGGTATGTGTAGCCTATTGCTGCATTGTTGGACCTCCAGGTCAGGGCTAGAGCACAATGTTTTGTATTTGCAGCTTTATGCGTAATCCATTACCTAGATGTGTAGGGTTTTTCAAAACTAGTTTCACAAAATACACGCACAATATAGATTTGTTAACTGGTTCAATGGCACTGAAAATTTCAGCAACTCAAGTTCACTATAAAATCAGGACAAAATATATGATCTGTATGCATTAATTACTATGTATCAAATTTTTTTCAATAAGGTATGAAATTATTAAAATTATCTGCACATTGACTCAGTTGTAGTAAGGACTGTAAATTGAATGGGGAAATACTTTGAAGTTGTATACATATGATGGCATCTTTAAGTGGTAATACAGTATACAGAATTGTAGCCTTAATATATGTAACTTGATTTAGGATTTCTGAGGCACCTTTTGTGTCTACATAGGTTTATTTAGCCCGAAAAGAAGGATCAATTTCTGGTTACATCAGCTGGAAGTTTGAGTGTGGTTCTGTTGGTCTAAAAATAGAAAACATTTCTGTCAGAACGAGCAGTCAGACATTTCAGAGTGGACGGGTGAGGTGGATGCTGTGCTCTGGAAACACAGAAGTTGATGTAAATGGAGGCAAGTATGAAACTTTTTAAAAATGCTGCTCCAAACAAAGCCAAAACATTATCCTGCTAAGATTTAATGAACAGTCATTTTTTAAAATGTCCTCAGTGTTTTCCAATAATTACCATTTTTACCCCTACATCACTACTGAGAGGTAGGCCACTAGGGTTGCCAAGTCGATCTTTGCCGGGAGCAGGGGGCTCCCGACCGGCGTCTGGTGTGCGCGCACGCGCCGCATGCACGTCACCCGGAAGTGATGTGATGACGCTCCGAAGTTGGCTCAATTTCATGTTCGTTGCATCGATGACACTGTCTAACCATCTCATCCTTTGCCGTCCCCGTCTTCTTTGACCTTCAATCTTTCCCAGCATCAGGGTCTTCTCTAGTGAGTGCTCCCTTCTCATTTGGTGGCCAAAGTATTTGAGCTTCATTTTCATTATCTGGCCTTCCAGGGAACAGTCAGGGTTGATTTCTTTTAGGATTGACTGATTTGATCTTTTTGCAGTCCAAGGGACTCTCAAGAGTCTTCTCCAGCACCATAGTTCAAAAGAATCTATTCTTCGGCGCTCGGCCTTCCTTATAGTCCAGCTCTCGCAGCCATACATGACTACTGGGAATACCATTGCTTTGACCATGCGGACTTTTGTTGGCAGGGTGATGTCTCTACTTTTTATCATGCTGTTTAGGTTCGCCATCGCTTTCCTCCCAAGGAGCAGGCGTCTTTTAATTTCATGGCTGCTGTCACAGTTCCTTATGTAAAGGGGACTGATCTGAGATCACACAAAAAGTCAGCAGTTAACCTTGCGCCTGAGTTGGTCTGCAGTTTATGGCGAAGAAGCAGAAGAGTTGGTTTTTACATCCCAGTTTTCTCTACCCTAAGGAGTCTCATAGTGGCTTATGGTCACCTTCCCTTCCAGTCACCTTAAAAGTGGGGATTGAGGCTACTCTGAACTGCCAGTTTTGTTTTTGTATGACAGTTATATCAAATAATCTTATCTGCTATCCATTCAAGTGAAACTCCTAACATTTAAGCCGATTTAGGCCATTGACTGCAGATGATATTTAGAGCGTGTTTCTTCTACAGGCTGCTGTGCTCCTCTTGCTTCAGCAGCTTTGTTGCTTATGTTTGAAACTGGTCATGTGCTCCCTTTCTTAGAAATGCATCTTTTGTGCCAGGCTGCAGGCATTGGCCAGTTTTGAAGGAAATGTGTACTAAGAGAGCGAGTGTTCCTGCTTTGCTGGCTTGTCATTGGCAGAGCATCACAGATGACTCTGGCTGGAACTGGAGCTGCTGAAAGTGTCAGTGAGCTCTCTGCATTGTTCTCAGACTCAGGCATGTGAAATGAACCTCTCCCTTGAGAACTCTCTTTGCTCTTCTCCCCACGCCCTACCCCATGTGTTTTGCAGTGCAGCAACTGGATTGCCCTTGGAGCTATGTTAGCACGATTTGGTTTTCCAATCCTCCCTTTAAAAATATCTTGTATAATTGCATATGGATGTATTATAGTCCTCTTATTTTAAATATGTTTTGCATTTTCTAAATTATTTCCTCTCATGGAGACAGTGGGCACTAATCCAACCCATCTTCAATTTGGAACCACTTTCAACTCTGTAACACTGTATATACAACAATGTCCAGATGTTTTGCAATGCATATCAGATGTACATTATGGGTGCCTGTAACCTACAGGAAAACTCAACAGCAAAGAAGGCCCAAATCAGCTTAAATCCCAATACTCCAGAAGCTTGTGGGTTGGGGTGTAAATTAGAACAGTCCTCACAAATTACTAATTGATTCTTAAACGTTTCTAGAACTGTAGCAATTTCAGAAGATAGTCCTGTTGTAGTAAAAATAAACATGAGTCTTGTGGCACTTAAAGACTAGTGCATTTTTATTCTAGCATAAGCTTTCCTTGATTAAAGGATCTTTCATTAAACTTATGTGGTTGATCCTCTCTCTCACTCACACACAAGAAATTGTAAATAGCAGAGTCAAAAGCTATGAAATTCAGGAAATTGGGTAGTGAATTAAAATATATCAAGAGAAGTACAGAGACCCTTCACATTACCGGTTATTGTTGATTATTGTTGATAATGTAATCACCCTGTATGTGTGTGTATGTCTTGCAACTGAGGAACCACCTCATGCATCTGTTGAGCTGTCTACACAAGCTTACAGTAGAATAAAAATGTGTTAATTTTTACACTGACACAAGACGCCTTTTTAGAATTTCTGGGCACTATAACATATAGGGAGGAAAGCACTAGGTATTGCACAAGATCTTCCACAAGTGGAACTCTGCTAAGTCTGTTTTATGTTTCCACTTGTGCACTGCTAGATCCAAGCCAATGGGTTTAGAATGGAGTAGCTCTGGACGGGATTTCACTGTGTTTTCTACTAAACATCAAGAGCAACTGTTTTAACAGGATTACTTTTCCTCTCTCTAGATAAAAACCTTCACTCTTACCCTGATATTTCCAACGTAACAGATGTTCTTTTGAAAGCAGAACTAAGTGGAGGGGATGGTGATATTGCATGGCAACACACACAGCTGTTTAGACAAAGTTTAAATGATGGAGAAGATTGTTTTGAGATCATCATAAAATTCAATGAACTTTGAATATCTAAAAAAAGACACCTGTATGAAGTAAGGACTGCTGGTACAAAATATTTGAAAGCATTTTTCATTGGACAATTGTGAAGAAATGGATTTTGTAAGATGGCATACAAAGAAATCCTGGTATCTTGTAAGTGTGCCCTACGACTAATGCCTAATCATCCAAAAATGTAGCATTTTGTATTCAAAGAGAGGGGAAAACCTTATTAACCCAATACTACACACATTTACTTGGTAGTCAGTCTCATTGGACATAATGGAATTTATTTCTGAGTAAATATGGACAGGATTGGGCTGCATGTCATTTAAGGCTGGGACTCCTGCTTCTAACCAGTCTATACTGGGAAGTAAAGGGTTTTTTTAAAAAAAATGAAAATTGAATAAAGGTTTCTGTTTAAACTTTGGAGCTAGAAATTTGATTAATAAAATAGGCACCTGTAATGCTTGAACCTTCTGTTTGCTCGTAATTTTATAATAGGCAGTTTATTGCATTCATAAAGAAACATTATGAATCTTTGGAATAATTAGCAGCTTCAGATGTCATTTTTGGTTGAATTCAAATTCTGTTTAGACTTTAAACAAAACTTTGTTGACAGATAGCTAATTTGGATGTCTATTAAGTCCTCCTTAAATATTCCAAGTTAAATATGTACTGTAATTTAAGAATTAAATATTTTGGACCTTGGTCATATAAAAAAGAATAAATTGGCTGTGTCTCTAAAATACTGTCATGGACTGTTATGCAAAAATGGATCTTTGTGTAAAATTATAAAGTTTTGATATGTAAGATTGGTTGTTATGCATATTTTTGTACTTTATAAATATGGATTGTCTGCTTTTTCTATGAAGCTGCTGCTTCTGTTAAAACACTTGTAGGCAGTGGGTTATATTCAGCTAGTTTTTCATTTGCTCATACTCAGTTCCTCTCTGTCTTATAGCCTGCATTCCACATGGGCTTTGTATATGCAACTTGGGTCAGCTTGACACCCTTGCTCCTGTGAAGCTCCTGCTCATTTCAGATACCAATGCCTACACTCAAGAGTTGTGTTCATTATTTAATTTTCCTTCCCTAATGTCAATTGCTGTTTTGTTCTGGTCTCTGTGTAGCCTTGTGTATAGGTTGGAGGGTGTGTGTATAGGTTGGAGGGTGTGTAAATAAATGCAATGGCCCCAATTCTGTGAGAGAAAGTCATGCATATCTTATTCTCCCTCTGAGGTGGAGGACATCCACTGTGGGTGATTCCCATCCATCATTCAGGGAGGCAGGACTTACAAAAGAACTTCCTGTTTCCAGTGGTGGGAGTCACCCTTTCCTCAGTTCTTTTCCTGCCTCAAGAGGGAGAGCAGCGTGTTAGGCTTTGCCAAACCTTTTTATCTTTATCTTCTACTAAGCTAATCAAAACGTATTAACCTCTCTTTCTTAACCTTTTCTTTCAGGCTTTCTCCTAGCACTCGGTTTCTGCTTTAAAAAAAAAAAAAAGCAAAAACAAAAGGGGGAATCCCCCCCTCCTCTCCTCCTCTAACTCGGCTTCCTCTGCCTCCGATATTCTCCTCCAGCCTATCCTCTTCCCTGCTCCGTTTCCCCCCCCCAACATTGGGGCGATCGGAGACCGAGCTCCGCTGCAGTGCTCTGCCCCTGGCCGCGAGCGCCGCGAGCCAGTGATACACGTGGTCCGACTGAACAAAGGATGGACCGGGAAGAGGACAACGGCTTTCTAACCTTCCAGAGCGGCTGCACTAGGTCCGGGAAGGGGAAGCACGCGGCGCAGCACAGCGCCGGGAAGCCTCCGACGACCCGGAGCACGAAGGGGGCAGCACGGAGATCGCCGCCGCAGAAGTCGCGGGGGCCATTTCGAAGCCGCCTGCGGGCGCTCACGATTCGGGGGGCACCGCTGGCTGCCTTTCCCCGCCGAAATCGCCCGGCAAGGCTAATGGGCGCTCACGATTCGGGGGGCACCGCTGGCTGCCTTTCCCCGCCGAAATCGCCCGGCAAGGCTAATGGGCGCTCTACAAGCTCCACAGCGGCACGGGAGCTATACGGGGGGCAGTTCCATCTGCCAATCCCCACCAAATTCGCCCGCTAACGCAAAATGGGCGCCCCTTTCGCTCGGCTACGGCCCATGAGCGCCTGTATGGCTCGGCATCAGCAGCGAGCCCCCGGGACGCCAGCACCACCATATTCTTCCATTGTTTTCTCAAATGTTTGAGTTTTGCCCTTGGTATTCTTCATGGGACTGGGACGTCTGCATAGACTTGTCCCTCCCACCCCTTTCTCCAAGGATTTTTTCTTGCCTTACAGGCTGAGTTATCTGGAAAGAGCTCCCCCTTTCAAACATGCTTCATTTCGGTTTTTGGCCAATCGTCAGGTGAAGTCGTGTCTCCGATGGTGGACGAAGGGAGCCCTGTCGGTGCGTTCGGTCCTATGCGTCTTTCATAAGGACAAGGTAGTACTTAGAACAGATCCCACCTTCAGTGCCAAAGTTAATTCTGTCTTCCACAACTCCCAGGAGATATATCTCCCTTCTTCTTCTTCTTCTGCCCGGACCCAGTCCACGCCAAGGGGAAGATTGGACACACACTAGATGTGCGTAGGGCACTCAAGAGTTACATTCATCGGACCGTTTTCTTCCGCAAAACAGAGGCTCTCTTCGTCAACGTCTCTGTCCCTAACAAAGGACAAAATGTCCAAATCAGCCCTGAGCGCTGCAGTGAAGGCCTGTATTGCGGGGGCGTATAAAAGCTGCGGTCAGCAAGTACCCCCCGGTATCATGGCCCATTCTCTCCGTAGCGCAGCCACTAACGCGGCACTCTGCAACAGAGCATCGATTGAGGAAATCTGCAGGGCAGCAACCTGGTCGTCTCTGTCTACATTCATCAGACACTATGATATTAATATATACGATTCGGCAGAGGCGGCCTCTGGCAGAAGGGTTCTGCAATTTGTGTTTTTTTTCACAGGCGGACGACCTCCCATCCCAACATTAGGGACACTGCTCGGGAAGGTCCCACAGTGGATGTCCTCCACCTCAGAGGGAGAACGACCATTGGTACTCACCGTGAGGGGTCATTCTCCTCTGAGGATTGGAGGACATCCCGGCCCCCCCAGGTCGCCGTCATGCGTAAGTATTGGAGACTAAGTTTCTACATTGCCTACGTTCTGACTGTACTACTATCTTATGTGTATAACCCTATTGTAGAAAGAGAGAAGTTAAGAATTTCCTGTACGTAGTTATGTTCTTTTAAAAGGATGTCGTTAATAGGTTATCAACCTTTACTGCTTTTCGGAGTACCCGAACTGAGGAAAGGGTGACTCCCACCACAGGAAACAGGAAGTTCTTTTGTAAGTCCTGCCTCCCTGAATGATGGATGGGAATCACCCACACAGGATGTCCTCCAAATGCAATGGCCCCAATTCTGTGAGAGAAAGTCATGCATATCTTAATTTCCATTGCAGTCAATGAGGTTAAATGACCTGTGCCGTTGATTTTAGTTGATCTTAAATGAGTTGTGAGGCCAGTTTATATAGCTCAAGTAGAATGTATGTTTGGTAGCAGCCATTCCAGCAAAAAAGAGTATTTGCTGAATTATACACCATCTACATCCAGTCCTGGAGTTAAAAAAAACCCTGGCACATGTATACTCAGCTGCTTCTGCAAATATGGAATATTTTACATAGATTAGAAATAGTATTCACGTATACTTAGCTTTAAAAGCTTACAGTTTGCTCTTTAGAGTTATGAATCTTCTATTAAACATAAGCCTACTAGAGGTAGTCTTGATGGGTAGGGTTGCCAAGTCGCTCAGACTTACCGGCGGGGGAGCGTCACTTGGGTCCGGGAGCTGCTGATGGATGCGCGTGCGCGCCGCCAGAACGTCACAGGAAGTGACGCACAACGTAGAGCACGTTGGGACGTGGCCCCAATCGTTGGAGGGAAAACCATAGAGTTTTCCCTCCAACGATTGGGGCCACGACCCCAACGTGATCTACGTGGTTGCGTCACTTCCTGTGACGCACCCACGCTGCGCTTTGGGCGGGGTTCCCCCTGGGGCCCAATTCCGCGGCGGTGGAAATCGGGCCTCCAAAGCAGGGGTTTACCCGCCACCCGCCCCCACTTGGCAGCCCTATTGATGGGGGAAAGACTGTTAGAAAAAATAAAGAACTGGATTCTGATGGAAGATGTATACTCATACCAAGCACTCCAAAATCCACCCTTTGGACTGAACATAGTGTTCTGTAATGTGAATGGCAGAAGGTTCAGTCAATAATTTGATCCCAATGTTAGTCTGAAGTGATAATCTTACTCTGAGCAAAGTTTCTTGTATTTGGCTCTACTGCCCACAGACATGAAAAGACCATCCTAAGGCAAGTCATAAGCCATATTTTGAAAAATAACTGACAAATGTATTGTGGTCTGAGCTTCATAGGATATGGTTTACTTCAGCAGATGATAAAAGGGATCAGGGACTTAACTAGGGTTATAAACAATAGGTGAGAAACACAGCTATCAGTGTAAACAGTTATATCCTTCTAAGTCTATTGGTGTTACTGTTTAGGGCTGCACTGTAAATCAAATAGTAAAGCTACTAGCCCATGTTAATGTGCTAATCACCTACAGGTCTCTGCTGTGGGCATCAAGCATCCATTTTGTTGAATTTTTTCTCTCTCCTTCCATCTTAGTGACTATGATCAGCTCTCTTCTACCAGTCACATTAAATCCTCAAGCAAGTTTTGGGCAACCTACAGCGAAAGGCTGAGATCCAGCAGAAAAGGGGCATAATCAAGCATAATTCCACATAATTATATCATGTTCACTGAAAACAATAGCAACCTCAGAGAGTATGGAAGATTTGTCCTCACTTACCATGACGCTTCCTTCTTGGTGGTCCAGAAGTGGGGCAGTCCTCACTTGTGGGGTATGGCTCCTCCTCTTGTGCAGGGTCAGTCTTTCTAAATTGATTCAGTAGGGGGAAGGGCCTGACCCCTTGGGAGCTCCCCAGTCATCACCAAGCTGTGATTTCCCCCTAGTCAAACTGAAAAACAAACAAAACTTCCTTCCTGCTGGGTGAGAGTGAGCCTGCCCTCGAAGGAAACTATTTGAACAAGTTGTCCACAGTCTAAGGGAGCTTTCCTTTCCCAACTTCTGTTGTGTTATCTTCCTGTGTCATCTCCAAGGTGGGACACTTATGATTGATCTTCCTGTCCCCGGTACACCACTGTCGTCCTTGAAGAGCCTCCCTTTCCCTAAGACTGAGTGGGTAGTACTGCACCACTCCTGGACCACCAAGAAGGAAGCTTGACAGTAAGTGGAGATTAATCTTCCATTCTCCGGTGGTCCTAGGAGTGGGGCAGCCCTCACTTGTGGGACATACAAAAGCAGTGTGCCCCAGGGTGGGATTTTTAGCTTTGTGGACTAGATGATGTGCTGCAGA